AAAATTTATGTCTGTTCTGAATTGACATATGATATGTCGAATCAAAATTTATGTCCATTCCGACTGACATATGTCAGATCGAAATGTATTGTATACTACTGTAAGTAAAAGTAATGATGCTAAAACTAACTGAGATGGTACCATAATATTGATATTAATGTCTTTGAATTTTGTACAATTAAACATGTAATTGAAATTATCAATTAGAACTACAAATAATTGAGGCTTTGTGACAAACACATCAATCGCTTGTGCATTTACTAAGCTTTGAGCTAAGCCGTTAGCGACTGTGTAGGCAAATACAATTGTGAGTAAACATCGCCTGATCTAAACGTATTGTTATAAAAAAAACGCTTTGATTACTGAATAGTTAGCAAAGAGTCATCTATGGGTGCGGAGTGCAAGAACACTGATCGACATATTGTAAGAAAGAAAAAAACAGTAAATGCGCTAGCAGAAGTTTACTCATTTGTGATAATACAAATTCATTCAATTCAACTATTTAAAACTTAACTATTTGAGTTTAAGTTTAAAGTGGTGCGACACACATCTACCAGCACGATTTACGACCGTCTTTATTACTATAAATAATTTTGATTTAAGTGATAAACAGAATGACAGGACAGCATGTTATTGTGCATTGTCTATCGCTTGATGGGTTATCAAGTTTATGCTAATTATACAATTTTGACGATTATTCTATGTCGGTTTACGAATTAATATTTAAAATTAATCAATGCTATATACTATACGTATGCTTGCGAACTTTTCAATTACTATCTACTGATGAATTGTTTTGCGAATATTTAAGCATAATTTACATTATTCTTCCTAATTTTCAGCAATGGCAATTTTTGTGAGAATTAACTTTATTTTCGATTACTCGTATTTATACAATTCTCTTTATAAAGCGATGTTTTCGAATAAACTTTCAATGTTTCACGTATGTGAATTTGGTTTTGGGGACAGACGGAGTTTATATTGTGATATGATTACATGTGACAGCAACAAAACGTTATGAAATATGTCTAACCGTCACAATTGACGGGCGGGTAGAAATTTGTTATGTGTATACTATTGTATCATAAAGTAAGATTCAAATGTATACGAACAATAATGTAGTCCCTTGCGCTTATGCAAATTATTTATTCTTTTATGTTAAAACTTAGACTTTAAAATGCTGTTTATACACATGTAGAGTTGATCTCGTAATGTCAATAAAACAATTTAATAACAATTGTTACCTGATTGTCTTTATTATTTTAATCTGACATATGTGTCCATTCGGAATGGGGCTTTCCTATGAAATTAATTTGTAACACTGAATTTCGCTTCCCCAATATACTATTGGTACGGGTCCGTATCATTTCACCGAAAATCATTTCACCGGCGTAATATTTCACCGACAACCATTTAGCCGAAAATCATTTCATCGACAATCATTTTGCCGACATATTCACCAGCATTATTTCGAAATTATCCTTTTTTGGTAGTCGTTGTCGGCGAAATGATTTTCGGTGAAATGATCGTCGGCGAAATATTACGTCGGTGAAATGATTTTCGGCGTTATGATTGCCTCCCATTGGTACGGGATATAAGCAAAGATAGTTACACACTTCATTGTGGAAATATGCCTTACTAAATACGGTTTTTCTAACATATCTCGGACGGCTCGTGTTTATTATAATTATAATTATTCCATTGGTAAGGATGCAAAATTGTTCATATCTGATATGTATTATTATCTTATTCAGGTCCGGATTTGTGTGCAGTAATCTTCATTTTTAATATTTTTTGCCGCATTATCGATTTACTAATATCAAAAGTATATGCGCATGACAAACTGTATATTCAATATTTTTGGAGCACTATGAGAAAAGTGGATGAAAACTTTGTCTATTATCTTTAAACAATTACAGTTTGTTAAGCAATAACTCGCCAACTAGTCGGCGTTTTTCGTAAAAACTTTTGCATGATGAGTTGAGGTTCCAGAAAAAAAGGAGAAATACACAGCTTTTCATAAATCACTTTTTTCCCATTTTTTGTAACGTTAGTTTTAATGCAATTTGAGTTATAAAGAAAACCATTTTTGTTTGTACGTTTGGACAAGACTCTTGTGCCGTATCTGATTATCATTATTGTCACAACACAAATTAATTTTAGATTACCATGTGAAAAAACGGGTCCGCTCATATGTAAGGGAAAAGTCACTCTTCATCACGACAATGGCGTACGACATAACGCAACGATCATAACGGGCTAGTTTGAAAGAGAAGCCCTCGCGCGCCGTATCCGATCATCATTATTGTCACAAACACAAACTAATTTTAGATTACCGAATAAAGAATGTTACTCAAATTATGTGAAAAACGGGTCTGCTCGTATGTAAGGAAAAAGTCACTCTTCATTACGACAATGGCGCACGGCATAATGCAACGATTATAACGGACTAGTTTGAGAAAAAAAGCTCGCGTGCCGTGTCCGATCATCATTATTGTCACAAACAAATTAATTTTAGATTACCACATGTACAGAATTAAGGGTGTTACTCAAATTATGTGGGGAAAACGGGTCCGCTCATATGTAAGGAAAAAGTCACTCTTCATTACAACAATGGCGCACGACATAAGGCAACGATTATAACGGGCCAGTTTGAAAAAAAAAGTCCTCGTGTCATAAAATAGTGTGGACAACTTTGGAAGCGCTATTCAAAACTGACGTAATTATGCCTTTCTGTTCGCTTCTTTCTTTTTTGGTAACGTCCGGTTTAATTGCAATTCAAGACCTTGTGCCGTATCCGATCGATCATTATTGCCACAAACACAAATACAGTATCTTTTACATTATCGCATGTATAGGATAAAGAATTTTACGACATTGTCAAACCATGTGCAAAGTTTCAAACAGACGGGTCTACTCTTATATAAAGGAAAGGTCAAACCGAGTCGCAACTCATTCCACTGAAAAACAAAAAGATTTTTTCCTAACAATACTCCACCAAGCTATCTACACACTTAAAGAAAAAACGAAAATGGTTCGAAAAATTATTACTGCACTCATCTTGTTGGCTATGCTTTCCACAATCAACGCTATGCCAGGTTTAGGAGCTAAACATAATTTTGTTTGGAAAAAATGTTACAGTACAATTCCAGTACCTACCGTACAAGCAAATTATCCTATACCTGGTCAAGACCTGACCGTTACCGTTTCGGGAGAGGTTCCAGATAAATCTGCAAAATATACATGGAGTTTTAGTTATGCCGATTTTAAAGGAAATCACATTACTTATTCTTACAGGGGACCTAACGTTTCTCTTTCTCCGGATTCGAAGCACTTTACCGCTACAGGAACCGCGAAAGTATCGGATAAGTTAGCGGAGTATGATTCGTATAATCTCGTCGTTATGGTTCGGAGAGAAGCAGATAAAAAGCATGACAAACCTACATATGTGGGCTGTGCCAAAGCTTTAGTCACCCAAAAATAATCGACTGGTTAATCTTTGTATTCTGGGGCTTTTGTTTTTCTTTACCTCTTTTTTCTGCTGAAATTACCATTGTTGATAGAGTGCAATTTGGATAGATAATATAGATAATTTTCCCTCTCCCTTTGACCTTGTCAATTTAATAATGTGTTTATCTTTATCGTTAGTAGTAATCTTTATTAATAAAACATAATTAGCAGGTGCTTTACGAAACTAAATTCTACTTATAATTATTAAAACGTGAAAATAATAATTGTTTGTTGTGAAACTTTGTTGATTGAATATTATATAGAAAACGCACAATTACTCTGATTACCTAAATTGGTATGATCTTGTCACACCATAAACGCTGACACAAAAAAAAACCACCAAACTTGATTAAGTGCCAAACAATTACCTGTTGGACTTGCAAATGAAATACGTGCTAAAATGGCAAAAAAATTAAGCGTCGAAAGTTTACGTTAAGGGTTGGTGTTAAAAATAATGGATTATGATAGCTGGCTGAAGCATGGTTGTTTTTGATGCAAAGATGCAAATTTAAATTAAGCTGGCGAGCTAGTGGTAAGTTTTAATAGACTTATCGATGAAGAATTATACATTACCTTACTATGTACGTTAGCTTGATTTTTTTATTGGTAAGATTACCCATATTTTATATTAGTTTAAACATAATACAAAATCTTGATACAGTAAATTTCTCATTATAATTGAAATTGTATTATTAATTTTTCGATATGATTAAGGTTGTATAGTAAGTCTTATTATTACAGTATTGGATATAGTCAAGTTTTTTTCTCAAACAATATTAATAGATGTGTTTTGATATAGTAAAATTATACCATTTGATGTAAATTTTAGTACAAAAACACCGACACTACAAGGGAAAAACTTCAGCAAGACTATAATAAAAATAGGCGCACTATAAAAAAGTGTTATGTGAAGACGTATAGAAGTCTTTGACGTTATGAATTCTGCTTGGAAAATGTGACTACAGAGATAATACAAATCGGTGGCATTTGCCAGACAGTTTTTTGAATAATCTGTTGCAGTTGATGTTATTCAAGATTTTATTAACCCGTTTTTAATTGCTAATGGATAGAAACATATTAACATTAATATATTATTAATTCTTATGTTTATGTTCTGACCCAAATCGAAATCGACCCAATTCGGAATAGGGTTCGACCCAAATCGAAATAAGCTCAGAGTGATATTTATTTCGATGTTGTCACATAATTTATGCACAACGGTTAGACAGTTATCGTTTGTTTGTACACAAGGAGAACATATACTTATTGCATATTCTACTGCACTTTTTTATGGGAAAACAACTAAAGTCAGTACCAAAAAAATCGGGTTGATTATCACATACTGGATTGCACCAGCTAGATGATGCTGTTTATTCGTCTTTAATAAATAATAAACTATAACAAATAACATGAGATGCAGCATTAACCGTTCAAT